CCCTGGGATCATTCCCACTGTCCATCCCTTGGGATTCTCCCGGTGTCCATCCTTGGAATTCTCTAGGAGTCCATCCCTGGGAACATTCCCAGTGTTCATCCCTGGGATTCTCCCTGGAGTTCTCCCGATGTCCATCCCTGGGGATCCTCCCTGGGGTTCTCCCGGAGTCCATCCTTGGAATTCTCTGGATGTCCATTCCTTGGAATACTCCCGGTGTCCATCCCTGGGACATTCCCGGTGCCCATCCCTGATCCCAGGATCTGGGATGTGGCCAAACAGGGATTTCCCTGCGGAACAGGGCCGGTCACTTCCCAATCCCGGAGGGAATTTTGGGCTCCTCACTCCAAGACATGGAAGGGTCTGGAGCAGCGGGAATATCTGAGGGAGCTGGGAAGGGGCTGGAAATCTGGGAATGGCTGAGGGAGCTGGGAAGGGGCTGGAGAACCTGGAATATCTGAGGGAGCTGGGAAGGGGCTGGAGAACCGGGAATATCTGAGGGAGCTGGGAAGGGGCTGATCCCAGAGAAAAGAGGGATCAGGAGGGACCTTTTCCCACCCCACAACTCCCTGCCAGGGGTCCCCAATTCCCAGGGAACGAGGGACAGGAGGAGAGGGAACGGCCTCCAGCTGGGCCAGGGATATTGGGATATCAGCTGGGATATTGGGAACAATTCCCACATGGAAAATGTCACCCAGTGGTGGATTCCCCATTCCCAGAGGGATTTCAGATCCCTGTGGATGTGGCCCTTGGGGACACGGATCCGGGCTGGCCTTGGAACTGCTGGGAATGGTTGGACTCCGTGATCCCAGAGGGATTTTCCATCCCAACCCCTTCCCGGATTCCCTGGAGCGGGAATTTTTTCCCGCTTTGTTTGAACTTCCCTTGGGCTGCGCTTGGATGGAGGGACCGTTTTCCCTGGATCTTATCCCTGTAGATGGTGCCTCCGGGGATGAATCCATGTGGGAAGGGTCTCTCCCGGAGGAGGGATCCATCCCCATTCCCGTTCCCATTCCCATTCCCATTCCCAGTTTAGGGGCCGTGTCCGAGGTGTCGGCGGCCGGAGTGATCGGCACCGGGACCCACAACACCGGGATCGGCCACGGCATCCTGCCCACCCAGGTGAGATCCCGGGGAATCCCCGGCATTCCAGGGAATCCCCGGCATCCCAGGGAACCCCCAACATTCCGGGGAATCCCCGGCATCCCAAGGAATCTTGAGTATTCCAGGGAATCCCAACATCCCAGGGAATCCCCAGTATTCCAGAGAATCACCAGTATTGCAGGGACCCCCCAGCATCCCAGGGAATCCCCAGTATTCCAAGGAATCCTCCAAATCCCAGGGAATCCCCAGCATTCCAGGGACCCCCCAGCATCCCAGGGACCCCCCAGCATCCCAGGGACCCCCCAGTATTCCAGGGAATCCCCAGCATCCCAGGGAATCCTCAGCATCCCAGGGAATCCTCAGCATCCCATAGAATCCCCAGTATCCCAAGGAATCCCCAGCATTCCAGGGAATCCCCAGCATTCCAGGGAACCCCCAGCATCTCAGGGAATCCCCAGCATTCCAAGGAATCCCCAGTATCCCAAGGAATCCCCAGTATCCCAAGGAATCCCCAGTATTCCAGGGAATCCCCAGCATCCCAGGGAACACCCAGCATCCCAGGGAATCCTCAGTATCCCAAGGAATCCCCAGCATTCCAGGGAATCCTCAGCATTCCAGGGAATCCCCAGAATCCCAGGGAACCCCAGCATTCCAGGGAATCCCCAGTATCCCAAGGAATCCCCAGTATCCCAAGGAATCCCCAGCATCCCAGGGAACCCCCAGCATTCCAGGGAATCCCCAGCATCCCAGGGAACCCCCAGCATTCCAGGGAATCCTCAGTATCCCAAGGAATCCCCAGCATTCCAGGGAATCCTCAGCATTCCAGGGAATCCCCAGCATCCCAGGGAACCCCAGCATTCCAGGGAATCCCCAGTATCCCAAGGAATCCCCAGTATCCCAAGGAATCCCCAGCATCCCAGGGAACCCCCAGCATTCCAGGGAATCCCCAGCATCCCAGGGAACCCCCAGCATTCCAGGGAATCCCCAGCATCCCAGGGAATTGTGACCCAGCACCGGGGTTGGGAATTCCCAACCAGATCCTGTGGAGAAGGGAAGCTCCACCGGCCCCGCCCCTGGATCCCTGGGAGCATCCAAGGAAACCTGGGATGGGGCTTGGAAAAACCTGGGATAGGGGGAGGTGTCCCTGCCCATGGAATGGGATGGGATTTGAGGGCCCTTCCAGCCCAAATCAGGATGGGATCCCGGGATTTCATGGAGCTGGAGAAGGGGCTGCATCCCAAGGAATGTGGGAACTTGGGAAAAGGTGAGTCCAGGCAGGGACTGAGCCCTGGAATGCCAGGGAAAAGCAGGGAATGCTGCATCCCAAGGAATGTGGGAACTTGGGAAGAGGTGGGTCCAGGCAGGGAATGAGCCCTGGAATCCCGGGGAAAAGGGAAGAGGGAAAAGGCATCCCAAGGAATGTGGGAACTTGGGAAAAGGTGGCTGGAGGCAGGGAATGAGCCCTGGAATGCCAGGGAAGAGGGAAAAGGCATCCCAAGGATCAGGAGAGCTTGGGAAAAGGTGTCTCCAGGCAGGGAGTGAGCCCTGGAATGCCAGGGAAGAGCAGGGAATGCTGCATCCCAAGAAATGTGGGAACTTGGGAAAAGGTGAGTCCAGGCAGGGATTGAGCCCTGGAATCCCAGGGAATAGGGAAAAGGCAGGGAAGAGGGAAAAGGCATCCCAAGGAATGCATCCCAAGGAATGTGGGAAGTTGGGAAAACATGGCTGCAGGCAGGGAATGAGGCCTGGAATCCCAGGGAAAAGGGAGGGAGAAGCTGCATCCCAAGGATCCATTCCCAAGGATTATGGGAGAAGGGTTGGGAAAAGCTTGGGAAAAGGTGTCTCCAGGCAGGGAGTGAGCCCTGGAATGCCAGGGAAAAGCAGGGAATGCTGCATCCCAAGAAATGTGGGAACTTGGGAAAAGGTGAGTCCAGGCAGGGATTGAGCCCTGGAATCCCAGGGAATAGGGAAAAGGCAGGGAAGAGGGAAAAGGCATCCCAAGGAATGTGGGAATGTGGGAAAAGATGTTTCCAGGCAGGGAATGAGCCCTGGAATGCCAGAGAAAAGCAGGGAATGCTGCATCCCAAGGAATGTGGGAGCTCAGGAAAAGGTGGCTGCAGGCAGGGAATGAGGCCTGGAATCCCAGGGAAAAGCAGGGAATGCTGCATCCCAAGGAATCTTGGGAGAAGGGTTGGGAAAAGGTGTCTTGAGGCAGGGAATGAGCCTTGGAATCCCAGGGAATAGGGAAAAGGCAGGGAAGAGGGAAAAGGTATCCCAAGGAATATATCCCAAGGAATGTGGGAAGTTGGGAAAACATGGCTGCAGGCAGGGAATGAGGCCTGGAATCCCAGGGAATAGGGAAGAGGGAAAAGGCATCCCAAGGAATGTGGGAATGTGGGAAAAGGTGGGTCCAGACAGGGAATGAGCCCTGGAATCCCAGGAGAAAGCAGGGAATGCTGCATCCCAAGGAATGTGGGAGCTCAGGAAAAGGTGGATCCAGGCAGGGAATGAGGCCTGGAATCCCAGGGAAAAGCAGGGAATGCTGCATCCCAAGGAATCTTGGGAGAAGGGTTGGGAAAAGGTGTCTCCAGGCAGGGAATGAGCCTTGGAATCCCAGGGAATAGGGAAAAGGCATCCCAAGGAATGTGGGAATGTGGGAAAAGGTGGATCCAGGCAGGGAATGAGCCCTGGAATCCCAGGAGAAAGCAGGGAATGCTGCATCCCAAGGAATGTGGGAGCTCAGGAAACGGTGGGTCCAGGCAGGGAATGAGCCCTGGAATGCCAGGATGGAGCCGCTGCATCCCACGGAATTCCCTCCCCCGTGTCCAGGTCGTGGCCCTCACCCTGCTCTTGGCCTCGGGAGAGATCCTGGAATGCTCGGAGGCGGCCAATCCCGAGGTTTTCCAGGCGGCCCGGCTGCACTTGGGATGCCTGGGAATCGTCCTGAGCGTCACCTTCCAGTGCGTCCCGGAATTCCGGCTGCGCGAGGTGGCCTTTCCGTCCACCCTGCCCCAGGTACGGCCGGGAATTCCCCGGGAATGAGGCCGGGAGGCGGGAAAATCCCACGGGATCCTTCCCAGGAGTCGCCGTTCCCGAAGGGATTTCCGATCCCTGTGGATGTGGCCCTTGGGGACACGGATCTGGGGTGGCCTTGGAAGTGCTGGGAATGGTTGGATTCCGTGATCCCGGAGGGATTTTCCAACCTGAACCATCCCTAAGGATCCTGTGCCATCCTGGCACTGTCCCAGCTCCCCACAATTCCCGGGAAGGAAGTTTCGGGAGGAATTGGGGATTCCCAGGGAATTCCCAGGGAACAAGGGACAGGAGCAGAGGGAAGGGCCTCCAATGTCCCTCCAGGCTCAGGTGGGATATTGGGAACAATTCCCGCATGGAAAGGGCTGTCAGGCCCTGGAATGAACTTCCCAGGGTGGGGCTGGAGTCACCATTCCCGGAGGGATTTCCGATCCCTGTGGATGTGGCACTTTGGGGCCGTGGACATTCCATGATTTCCCGGTATCCTTTAAGCCGGAAACCCCTCAGGGAAGGGAGGGAAAATCCAAATCCCTCGGGAATTGCCCCTTCCCAAGGGTGGGAAGGGCCCCCTTGGGAAGCAGGACCCATCCCAGGATGGATCCATCGCCTTCTCTGGGAGATGTTCCGGAGCAAATGGATCCTTGGGATGCGGCCCCTTCCCATTTTCCGGAGGATCCAGCAGGAACTGGGGCCCATAATCCCTTCCCTGTATCCCAGAACCCCTTCCCTGTATCCCAGAACCCTTCCCTGTATCCCATCCCACATTCCCTGTATCCCAAAACCCTTCCCTGTATCCCAGAACCCTTCCCTGTATCGCACAACACTTCCCTGTATCCCAAAACCCCTTCCCTGTATCCTATAACCCCTTCCCTGTGTCCCATCCCACATTCCCTGTATCCCAGAACCCCTTCCCTGTATCCCAGAACCCCTTCCCTGTATCCCAGAACCCCTTCCCTGTATCCCAGAACCCCTTCCCTGTATCCCAAAACCCCTTCCCTGTGTCCCATCCCACATTCCCTGTATCCCAGAACCCCTTCCCTAAATCCCGTCCCCCCCTTCCCTGTATCCCAAAACCCCTTCCCTAAATCCTGTCCCACCTCCCCTCCCTCTTTCCCTCCCCCACTCCCAGCGTCCTTTCCCACCTCCAATCCACCTTTTTCCTTGGAATTCTCGCCCTCAGCCGCAGGATCCGGGCCGAGCTCCAGCCCCATTCCCATCCCCCCCATCCCTGATCCCCGATCCCTCCCCCCGGGAGCCGCTGGAAAGGAAAGGTCGCTCTCCATGAATATTCATCCCCCTTATCAATCCCGGGCCATCTCCCGCTCCCCAATCCCGCTTTTTATGTGGAAGCGGGAGGCGGGAGAGGACAAAGGGCCTTTGAAATGTTTGGAAGTGTTTGAGCCGGGCTTATCTCCCGGCCCGGGAATAACGCTGGGATCAGCGGGAGCAGGGATTACGTAAAGCCCCGCTCCGGGGTGACTTTGGAATCGGAGAAACCCGGGAGGAAGGGGAAAAAGTGGGAGAAGGACAAAAAAACTGGGAATGGGAGGCTGGGAGAGGAGCGGGGGGCTCGTCCGGGTTTAAATGGAACAGGGAGAGCTCCGGATATCCCAGGGAATCCAACCCGGCTTTGGACACTGCCAGGGATCCAGGGGCAGCCCCAGCTTCTCTGGGAATTCCAGCCCAGCCCCTCCCCACCCTCCCAGCCAGGAATCCCTTCCCAATCTCCCCCCCAAATCTCCCCTTTCCCACTGGGATCCATTCCCTGGGGCCTGGCATTCCAGGCCCTGAGCCCCAGGCCCTCTCCAGCTCTCCTGGAGCCCCTTCAGGCTCTGGAATGTGCTCCAAGCTCTCCCGGGATCCTTCCCTTCTCCAGCCTGGCCATTCCCAGCTCCATTCCCATCCCATTCCAGTTCCATTCCCATCCCATTCCCATCCCATCCCATCCCAGCTCCATTCCCATCCCATCCCAACTCCATTCCCATAAGTGGGATCCATGGCCTGTCCCGGTGCCGGGCTGATCCCAAGGCAGGGATGGCCGGGAATGCTCCTTCCCAGTATCCCGGCCCCACATCCCGCTTTTCCCATAGGAATGCCCAGGAATTCTCCTTCTTGGGATGTCTGGGAATACTCCTTCCCAAGATCCCGGCCCCACATCCCACTTTTCCTCAGGGATGGCCGGGAACGCTCCTTCCCAGGATGGCCAGGAATTCTCCTTCCTGGGATCGCGACCCCACATCCTGGTTTTCCCACAGGGATGGCCAGGATTGCTCCTTCCCGGGATTGCTGGGAATGCTCCTTCCCGGGATCCCGGCCCCACATCCCGCTTTTCCCGCAGGTTCTGGAGCAGCTGGAGGAGCACCTGGAGCGTTCCCAATATTTCCGCTTCCTGTGGTTCCCGCACAGCGACCACGTCCGGATCATCTACCAGGATCCCACGGATCGGGCACGGCCCCAGGGATTCCCGGGAATTCTGGGGGGGAGGGGGGGGGGAATGCAGGGCGGGAAGCGGTTCCTTGGGAAAGGGTTGGGAATCCCGGGGTTTTCCAAGCTCTTGGAATGCTCAGGGCAAATCCCACTCTCCTTTTGGAGCTTAATGGGAATTGTTCCCATAATCTGGGAATCCCAGGGTTTTCCAAGATCTTGGAATGCTCAGGGCAAATCCTGGTCTCCTTTTGGGAATGGATGGGAATTGTTCCCATAATCTGGGAATTCCAGGGTTTTCCAAACTCTTGGAATGTTTGGGACAAATCCTGGTCTCTTTTTGGGAATGGATGGGAGTTGTTCCCATAATCTGGGAATTCCAAGGTTTTCCAAGCTCTTGGAATGCTCAGGACAAATCCTGGTGTCTTTTGGGAGTTGATGGGAGTTGTTCCCATAATCTGGGAATCCCGGGGTTTTCCAAGATCTTGGAATCTTCCTGGCAAATCCTGGTCTCCTTTTGGAGCTTAATGAGACTTGTTCCCATAATCTGGGAATTCCAGGGTTTTCCAAGCTCTTGGAATGCTCGGGACAAATCCTGGTCTCTTTTGGGAATGGATGGGAGTTGTTCCCATGGTCTGGGAGTCCCAGGGTTTTCCAAGCTCTTGGAATGCTCAGGACAAATCCTGATCTCCTTCTGGAGCTGGATGGGACTCGTTCCCATTATTTGGGGTTTTCCAAGGTCTTGGAATGCTGGTGGCAAATCCAGGTCTCTTTTGGGAATGGATGGGAATTGTTCCCATAATCTGGGAATTCCAGGGTTTTCCAAACTTGGAATGCTCAGGACAAATCCTGGTCTCCTTTTGGGAATGGATGGGACTTGTTCCCATAATCTGGGAATCCCAGGGTTTTCCAAGCTCTTGGAATGTTTGGGACAAATTCTGATCTCCTTTTGGAGCTTAATGAGACTTGTTCCCATAATCTGGGAAGCCAGGGTTTTCCAGATCTTGGAATGCTCAGGACAAATCTGGTCGCTTTTGGGAAATGGAAGGTGATGTGTCCCAATAATCTGGGAATCCCAGGATTTTCCAGCTCTTGGAAGGTGCGGGACAAATCCTGGTCGCCATTTGGAGCCTGGATGGAATGTGTTCCCATTATTTGGGGGTTTCCCAAGCTCTTGGAATGCTAGGGCAAATCCCACTAGCCATTGTGGAGTCTTAAATGGGAATTGTTCCCATAATCTGGGAATCCCAGGATTTTTCCAAGCGCTGGAATGTTCGGGACAAAATCCTGGTCTCCATTTGGAGCTGGATGGGAATTGTTCCCATTATTTGGGGTTTTCCAAGCTCTTGGAATGCTCAGGGCAAATCCCACTCTCCTTTTGGATCTTAATGGGAATTGTTCCCATAATCTGGGAATCCCAGGGTTTTCCAAGATCTTGGAATGCTCAGGGCAAATCCTGGTCTCCTTTTGGGAATGGATGGGAATTGTTCCCATAATCTGGGAATTCCAGGGTTTTCCAAACTCTTGGAATGTTTGGGACAAATCCTGGTCTCTTTTTGGGAATGGATGGGAGTTGTTCCCATAATCTGGGAATTCCAAGGTTTTCCAAGCTCTTGGAATGCTCAGGACAAATCCTGGTGTCTTTTGGGAGTTGATGGGAGTTGTTCCCATAATCTGGGAATCCCGGGGTTTTCCAAGATCTTGGAATCTTCCTGGCAAATCCTGGTCTCCTTTTGGAGCTTAATGAGACTTGTTCCCATAATCTGGGAATTCCAGGGTTTTCCAAGCTCTTGGAATGCTCGGGACAAATCCTGGTCTCTTTTGGGAATGGATGGGAGTTGTTCCCATGGTCTGGGAGTCCCAGGGTTTTCCAAGCTCTTGGAATGCTCAGGACAAATCCTGATCTCCTTCTGGAGCTGGATGGGACTCGTTCCCATTATTTGGGGTTTTCCAAGGTCTTGGAATGCTGGTGGCAAATCCAGGTCTCTTTTGGGAATGGATGGGAATTGTTCCCATAATCTGGGAATTCCAGGGTTTTCCAAACTTGGAATGCTCAGGACAAATCCTGGTCTCCTTTTGGGAATGGATGGGACTTGTTCCCATAATCTGGGAATCCCAGGGTTTTCCAAGCTCTTGGAATGTTTGGGACAAATTCTGATCTCCTTTTGGAGCTTAATGAGACTTGTTCCCATAATCTGGGAATCCCAGGGTTTTCCAAGATCTTGGAATGCTCAGGACAAATCCTGGTCTCTTTTTGGGAATGGATGGGAGTTGTCCCCATAATCTGGGAATCCCAGGATTTTCCAAGCTCTTGGAATGTTCGGGACAAATCCTGGTCTCCATTTGGAGCTGGATGGGAATTGTTCCCATTATTTGGGGTTTTCCAAGCTCTTGGAATGCTCAGGGCAAATCCCACTCTCCTTTTGGATCTTAATGGGAATTGTTCCCATAATCTGGGAATCCCAGGATTTTCCAAGCTCTTGGAATGTTCGGGACAAATCCTGGTCTCCATTTGGAGCTGGATGGGAATTGTTCCCATTATTTGGGGTTTTCCAAGCTCTTGGAATGCTCAGGGCAAATCCCACTCTCCTTTTGGATCTTAATGGGAATTGTTCCCATAATCTGGGAATCCCAGGGTTTTCCAAGATCTTGGAATGCTCAGGACAAATCCTCATCTCCTTTTGGGAATGGATGGGACCTGTTCCCACAGTCTGGGAATCCCAGGGTTTCCCAAGCTCTTGGAATGCTCAGGACAAACCAGGGAGCAGAATTTCTGGGAATGCTGGGATTCAATCCCTGTTCCCGGACCGCTCCTGCTCCCGCTCCGTGCTCCCAAATTCCCTCCCTCCCAGTCCTGCTCTTCCCTGACTCCCATCCTCTCCTCTTGGATTTGCAGCCTCCCTGCTCCTCCTCCAGCTGGATTTGGGATTACGCCGTGGGATATTACCTGCTGGAATTCCTGCTCTGGATCAGGTGGGATTTTCCAGGATCGGCCTCGTCCCGCTCTGTTCCCTGATTTCCTGGGATTCCCCGGGAAGGCGGGAAAGGGCGGGATGTCACCTGGAGCTTCCCCATCCCTGGGGAAGGAGGAATTCCTTGGGGTTTTTCCCAAGATTTCCCGTGGCCGGGATCGGTGGCTGGGGCTGCAGCGCCCTCTGGCGGCCGCGGAAATCCGGGAATTGTCCCGGCTGGAAAAGCCCTTTGGGATCACCGAGGGGCCGCATCCACAGGGATTTTCCAGCCCTGCAGGGATGGGATCCCAACATTCCTGGGGGAGCTTTTCCCAGCCCCAAGGGGACGTGGAATTGCGGCTGGAAAAGGGGTTTTTGGGAAAGGTTTGGGAATATCCCGAGGGATCTGCTCCATCCGGATGCTGGAGGCTCAGCTGGGAAGTGGGAGAGGCCTGGGAGAGGCGGGATGGGCTCCAAAAAGAGGGAAAAGTGGGATTTGGGCCAAGTCGGGCACTGCCAGAAGGTCCAAAGTGCCATTCCTGGGATAGCGGGAGGTGTCCCTGAACATGGAATGGGATGAGCTTTAAAATCCCTTCCCACCCAAACCATTCCAGGATTCCAGGATAAAGGACACTCCGGATCCAGTCAGAGGGGTTTTTCTGGAATGTGGGGATGGAAAAGGCGGGAAAGGGGAAGGGAGACCCTGCCCTGAGTGCCGAGATTCCCAGGGAACCCCCTTGTTCCCGGAACTCCTTCCCAGGGAGGAGCTGGGCTGGGGCTGGATCCAATGGCAGGCTCTGGCTCCAGGCTGGGAGAGCTGGGAATGGCCAGGCTGGATTTGGGAAGGATCCCGGGAGAGCTTGGAGCACATTCCAGAGCCTGAAGGGGCTCCAGGAGAGCTGGAGAGGGCCTGGGGCTCAGGGCCTGGAATGCCAGGCCCCAGGGAATGGATCCCAGTGGGAAAGGGGAGATTTGGGGGGGAGATTGGGAAGGGATTCCCGGCTGGGAGGGTGGGGAGGGGCTGGGCTGGAATTCCCAGAGAAGCTGTGGCTGCCCCTGGATCCCTGGGAGTGTCCAAGGCCGGGTTGGATCCCCTGGGATAGCGGGAGGTGTCTCTGCCCATGGAATGGGATGGGATTTAAGGTTCCTTCCCACCCAACCCTTCCCGGGATCCCAATCCCGGTTGGATCCCAATCCCGGTGGGATCTCAGCTCCCGCTCTCTCTCCCGGCAGCACCTTCATTCCCGCTCTGGTTCCTTGGATCAACCGCTGCTTTTTCCGGCTCCTCTTCAGCTCCCGGGTGGAAAAGGTCGCCCGGAGCCACCGGATCTTCAACTACGAGTGTCGCTTCCGGCAGCACGTCCAGGACTGGGCCATTCCCATGTAAATCCCAGGGAAATCCCAGGGAAATCCTGGGAAAACCCCCTCCTGGGATGCCCCTGGAGCAGTAGGGAATCCATGGGGAAAGGGATGTGGATGGGAGGAACATTCCCACCTGGAAGTTTGGCTTGGGGAGACCTGTCCAGGCTTGTCCTGGGATAAAGAATCCATCCCTATTCTGGGATAACGAATCCATCCCAAGATCCCAAATCCATCCCTGTCCCAGATCCCAAATCCATCCTTGTCCCAGGATCCAAATCCATCCCTATCCCAGGATCCCAAATCCATCCCTATCCCAAGATCCCAAATCCATCCCTATCCCAGGATCCCAAATCCATCCCAGCCTGTCTCCAAAGCCCCCATGGGAATGGGATGGGAATGGAGCTGGGATGGGAATGGAGCTGGGATGGGAATGGGATGGGAATGGGAATGGGATGGGAATGGGAATGGGAATGGAGCTGGGATGGGAATGGGAATGGGAATGGGAATGGGAATGGAGCTGGGATGGGAATGGGAATTGAACTGGGATGGGAATAGAGCTGGGATGGGATGGGAATGGGAATGGAGCCATGGGATGTGGGATGTGCCATTCCCAGCCCATTCCCAGCCCATTCCCAGGATGCCATGAGGCCGGAATGGGGCCGGGAATTCCCTGACCGGGCTCTGGGGTCCCTTTCCCGGCAGTGGGAAGACTCGGGAAGCGCTGCTGGAGCTGCGGGAGGCCCTGGATGCCGTTCCCGGCCTGCGGGCCCACTTCCCGGTGGAAGTTCGCTTTTCCAAGGGGGATGAGGTGTGGCTGAGCCCCTGCTTCCGGAGGGATTCCGCCTTCATCAACGTCATCCTCTACCGGTGCGAGCGCCATTCCCGGAATTCCAGCCCTATCCCGGGATCCAAATCCATCCCTGTCCTTGGATCCCAAATCCATCCCGATCCTGAGATCTCCAAACCACGCCTGTCATCCCAAATCCATCCCTATCCCAGGATTCCAACCCAGCCCTGTCCTGAGATCCAAATCCATCCCTATCCCAGGATCCCAAATCCATCCCTATCCTGGGATCCCAAATCCATCCCTGTCCCAAGATCCCCAAACCATTCCTGTCATCCCAAATCCATCCCTATCCCAGATCCCAAATCCATCCCTACCCCAGGATCCCAAATCCATCCCTACCCCAGGATCCCAATCCATCCCTATCCCGGGATCCAAATCCATCCCTATCCCAGGATCCCAAATCCATCCCTGTCCCAGGATCCCAAATCCATCCCTATCCTGGGATCCCAAATCCATCCCTGTCCCGGGATCCCAAATCCATCTCTATCCCAGGATCCCAAATCCATCCCTATCCCAGATCCCAAATCCATCCCTATCCTGGGATCCAAATCCATCCCTGGGATCCCAAATCCATCCCTATCCCTATCCTGGACCTCTGTGCTCCCAAATCTCTGGGATGATGGATGTGCTGGCACATTCCAGAACATTCCCTGGATAACCCGGGGCCGTGGGATGGGGCTTCATTCCCAATCCATGTCCCATCCCTTTCCCGGCCTTTCCCGGGTGGGGTTTTCCAGGTGTGCCAATCCCATTCCCTCATCCCGCTCATTCCCTGATCCCAACAATTCCCTCATCCTGCCAATTCCCTGATCCCAACAATTCCCTGATCCCACTCATTCCCTGATCCCACTCATTCCCTGATCCCAACAATTCCCTGATCCCACTCATTCCCTGATCCCACTCATTCCCTGATCCCACCCATTCCCTGATCCCGGTAATTCCCTCATCCCGCTCATTCCCTGATCCCGCTCATTCCCTCATCCTGCCAATTCCCTGATCCCGCCCATTCCCTCATCCTGCTCATTCCCTAATCCTGCTCATTCCCTGATCCCGCTCATTCCCTGATCCCGCCAATTCCCTGATCCCGCTCATTCCCTCATCCCACTCATTCCCTGATCCCACTCATTCCCTCATCCCGCTCATTCCCTGATCCCACCAATTCCCTGATCCCGCTCATTCCCTGATCCCGCCCATTCCCTGATCCCGCCCATTCCCTGATCCCGCTCATTCCCTGATCCCACCCCAGGCCCTACGGGAAGGCCGTTCCCATCCGGGAATACTGGAGCACCTACGAGCGGATCATGCGGAAACACGACGGGAGACCCCACTGGGCCAAGGTATCCCATCGGGAATCCCACCGGGAATCCCGCCGGGAAAGGGCCGGGAGAGGAAGGAATTCCCAGTTCCCGGCACGATTCCTCACGGGAAGGGGGTTTGGAGACAAGGGGGGAGGGTCAGGGATAGGGATGGATTTGGGATCCTGGGATAGGGATGGATTTGGGATCCTGGGATAGGGATGGATTTGGGATCCCGGGATAGGGATGGATTTGGGATCCTGGGATAGGGATGGATTTGAGATCCCGGGATAGGGATGGATTTGGGATCCCGGGATAGGGATGGATTTGGGATCTCAGGAATGGATTTGGGATCTTGGGATAGGGATGGATTTGGGATCCCGGATGGCTCCGTATCCCGATGTTTTCTGATGCTGGAATGGGGCTCCCACCATTCCCAGAGCACATCCTGGTGTGGAATCCAGGCTGGAAAAAGGAGGGAATTCCCATTTTCCATCCTGGAAAAGGGGTTTGGAGTCAAGAGAGTGTCAGGGATGGATCCCATCCCACATCCCAGGGCTCCGGATTCCTCAATATTCCAATGTCTTCTGTGGATGTGGATGTTGGGATGGGGCTCCCACCACTCCCAGAGCACATCCTGGTGTGGATCCAGGCTGGGAAAAGGGGGAAATTCCCATTTTCCATCCTGGAAAAGGGGTTTGGAGACAAGGGAGAGCTCAGGGATGGATCCCATCCCACATCCCAGGGCTCGGGATTCCTCCCTATCCCGATGTTTTCTGGTGTTGGGATGTGGCTCCCACCATTCCCAGCATGTCCTGGTGTGGATCCAGGCTGGAAAAACGGGATCGTTCCCATTTTCCATCCTGGAAAAGGGGTTTGGAGACAAGGGAGAGCTCAGGGATGGATCCCATCCCACATCCCAGAGCTCTGGATTCCTCCCTATCCCAATGTTTCCTGATGCTGAGGAATTCCTTGAGGGGCTCCCCGTGCCAGGCCCACATTCCCGTCTCCGGGAATTCCCCCCTGGACATTCCGGTCTCTCCTCCAGGCCCACAGCTGCACCCGGAAGGAGCTGGAGAAGATGTTCCCGGCATTCCCGAAGTTCTGCTCCGTCCGGGAAAAGCTGGATCCCACCGGCATCTTCCTCAACTCCTACCTGGAAAAGGTGTTCTACTGATGGAAAGAGCGGAATTCTTGGATCGTCCCGGAATTCCCGCTCCCGAAGCGTCGCTCCGCCCGCGCGTTCCCGGGATTTGATCCGATCCCGGCGCCTGGAATTCTCCCTGGGAATCCTGGAGATCCCCAAAATCCCAGAGAGCCCCCAATAAAGGCCTTTCCTCCGGCGCAGCTTCCCCATGTCCCGTGGAATTCCCAGCCCTGGGAATGCGGGAAGGGCTTGGGATTTCCTATCCCATGATCCCAAATCCATCCCTATCCCAGGATCCCAAATCCATCCCTATCCCAGGATCCCAAATCCATCCCTGTCCCAGGATCCCAAATCCATCCCTATCCCAGGATCCCAAATCCATCCCTATCCCAGGATCCCAAATCCATCCCTATCCCAGGATCCCAAATCCATTCCTATTCCAGGATCCCAAATCCACCCCTATCCCAGGATCCCAAATCCATCCCTATCCCAGGATCCCAAATCCATCCCTGTCCCAGGATCCCAAATCCATCCCTATCCCAGGATTCCAAATCCATCCCTATCCCAGGATCCCAAATCCATCCCTATCCCAGATCCCAAATCCATCCCTATCCCAGGATCCCAAATCCATCCCTATCCCAGGATCCCAAATCCATCCCTGTCCTGGGATCCCAAATCCATCCCTATCCCAGATCCCAAATCCATCCCTATCCCAGGATCCCAAATCCATCCCTATCCCAGGATCCAAATCCATCCCTATCCCAGGATCCCAAATCCATCCCTGTCCTGGGATCCCAAATCCATCCCTATCCCAGGATTCCAAATCCATCCCTATCCCAGGATCCCAAATCCATCCCTATCCCAGATCCCAAATCCATCCCTATCCCAGGATCCCAAATCCATCCCTATCCCAGATCCCAAATCCATCCCTGTCCTGGGATCCCAAATCCATCCCTATCCCAGATCCCAAATCCATCCCTATCCCAGGATCCCAAATCCATCCCTGTCCCGGGATCCAAACCTGGAGGTGTTTTTAGGGGATCCCCCTGGGGGTGTTTTTAGGGGGTCCTGACCCCTCTGGGTGTTTTTTTATGGGATCCCGGCCCCCCTGGGAGTGTTTTTAGGGGATCCCCCTGGGAGTGTTTTTAGGGGATCCTCCTGGTTGTGTTTTTTTGGGATCCCGATTCCCCTGGGGGTGTTTTTAGGGGATCCCTTGCGATGTGTTTTTAGGGTGTCCCGACCCCTCAGGGTGTGTTTTTAGGGGATCCCCCTCAGTGTGTTTTTAGGGTATCTCGGCCCCTCTGGGGGTGTTTTTAGGGTGTCCCGATCCCTTGGAGTGTGTTTTTAGGGTGTCCCGATCCCCCAGGGTGTGTTTTTAGGGTGTCCCGATCCCCCTGGGCGTGTTTTTAGGGTGTCCCGATCCCCCTGGGTGTGTTTTTAGGGTGTCCCGATCCCCCTGGGCGTGTTTTTAGGGTATCCCGGCCCCTCTGTGTGTGTTTTTATGGGATCCCGATCCCCCTGGGTGTGTTTTTAGGGTGTCCCCGCCCCTTCTGGGTGTGTTTTTAGGGTGTCCCGATCCCTCAGGGTGTGTTTTTTTGAGATCCCGATCCCCCTGGGTGTGTTTTTAGGGTGTCCCAATCCCCTGATTGTATTTTTAGGGTATCCCGGCCCCTCTGTGTGTGTTTTTATGGGATCCCGATCCCCCTGGGTGTGTTTTTAGGGTGTCCCCGCCCCTTCTGGGTGTGTTTTTAGGGCCGAGCTCCCCCCGCCCCGTGTGTGGGTGTGTTTTTAGGGGGCGGGATGATCCCGATCCCTCTGGGGGTGTTTGTAGGGCCGGGATCCGTCCGCCCCATCTGGGCGGGGGTGTTTTTTAGGGGGCGGGCGGATCCCGGCCCTACAAATCCCGTCCCCGGCCCTACAACCCCCGTCCCCCATTCCCGGCCCTACAAATCCCGTCCCCCATTCCCGGCCCTACAAACCCCGTCCCGCATTCCCGACCCTACAAATCCCGTCCCGCATTCCCGGCCCTACAAATCCCGTCACCGGCCCTACAAACCCCGTCCCCCATTCCCGACCCTACAAATCCCGTCCCGCATTCCCGGCCCTACAAACCCCGTCCCACATTCCCGGTCCCTCCCGTTCCTCGCTCGGCTCTTCCGCCGTCCCGGGACCCCCCAAATCCCATGGGGGGCTTTTGGGGAGCGGCCCCTCCGTCCCCCCGGGGGTCCCCGAACCCCCCCGAGCCCAAACCGGCCCCGCCCCGGCACTGAAAGGAATTCCCGGGAAGCGCCGTGAGTCGGGAATGGGGGAAGGAGAGTCGGGAATGGGGGAGAGTCGGGAATGGGGGAAAAGGAGAGTCGGGAATGGGGGAAGGAGAGTCGGGAATGGGGGAAGGAGAGTCGGGAATGGGGGAAAGGAGATGGGAATGGGGGAAGGAGAGGTCGGGGAATGAGGGAAAAGGAGAGGTCGGGATGGGGAAAGGAAGAGTCGGGAATGGGGGAAAGGAGAGTCGGGAATGGGGGAAGGAGAGTCGGGAATGGGGGAAGGAGAGTCGGGAATGGGGGAAAGGAGAGCCGGGAATGGGGGAAAGGAGAGCCGGGAATGGGGGAAAGGAGAGTCGGGAATGGGGGAAAGGAGAGTCGGGAATGGGAGGGGAGGGAAGGGGGAGGTGGGGAGATGTTCCTGCCCCGGTTCTTCTTCCCGGGATTCTTCTATCCCGGCCCTTCTTCCCGGGGGATTCTTCTATCCCGGTTCCCCGGGATAGAAGAAATAAATTCCCTGGGAATCTCGGCACTCAGGGCAGGGTCTCCCTTCCCCTTTCCTGCCTTTTCCATCCCCACATTCCAGAAAAATCCCTCTGAGTGGATTCTGAGTGTCCTTTCTCCTGGAATCCTGGAATGGTTTGGGTGGGAAGGGATTTTAAGGCTCATCCCATTCCATGTTCAGGGACACCTCCCGCTATCCCAGGTGGCTCCAACCTTTCCTTGGACACTCCCAGGGATCCAGGGGCAGCCACAGCTTCTCTGGGAATTCCAGCCCAGCCCCTCCCCACCCTCTCACCCCCCGACGTGCAGGGACCCCCGTGCAGGTGACACCGGGCGGGGGGGCTCTCAGGCCCTGTCCCAGTGCCGTTTTTCCCGGTGTTCCCAATGGAAACACTCCGGGATACGGCGGGGGGGGGGGGGGGCCGACGACGCTGCCGCCTCGTTGCTAAGCAACAGCTGACGGCGCATGCGCAGTAGCGACGGGAAACTGCAATGGCGCCCGCGTTGCCAGGCAATGGGAGACGCTCCCTTTAGCGTGCGCATGCGCAGTGACGCAAAGCACGCACGTTGCCAGGCAACTGGTATATCTCTGCACTTCGCGCATGCGCAGCAGCGGCGAAAAAAATCGCCTTGGCTGTCGCGTAGCCATGGAAATGGGGGACGCTTTTTCGGTGCGTGCGCATGCGCAGTAACGCAAAGCACGCACGTTGCCAGGCAATGGGGACGCTTTTTCGGTGCGTGCGCATGCGCAGTGACGCAGAGCACGCACGTTGCCGGGCAACCGGTGACTCTCCCTGCACTTCGCGCATGCGCAGCAGCGGCGAGAAACCGCCATGGCCGCCGCGTTGCCGGGCAACGGGGGACGCTCCCGGCCGCGCGCGCAAGCGCAGTAGCGGCGCCGCCCTTTCCCGTCTCCCCGCGCTCCCGATCCCGGCGCATCCATGGAAAACCGGGAGGGCGGGGCGGCTCCGGCCGCGCTCCACGAGATCCGCGAGCCCAGCCCCGGCCCCGAGCCCAACCCCGACCTGCACCTCGGGGCTGCCGCCGCCGCCGAGAGCGGCCCCGAGCCCGGCGCGGCCGCCGAGGCGGCCTCGGAGCGGGCGGAGCGGATCGGAGCCCGCAGGAGCCGCGTCGAGGCGCGGAGACGGTGAGGAAGCGACCCCAAAGTCATCCCCGGGGTTCAGAACCAGACCCCAAATTCATCCCCGGGGTTCAGAACCCGACCCCAATGTCATCCCCCGGGTTCAGAACCCGACCCCAAACTCATCCCCAGGGCTCAGGACCCGACCCCAAACTCACCCCAGGGCTCAGAACCCGACCCCAAACTCACCCCAGGGCTCAGGACCATTCCCAGGGATAAGGTTTTCTCCCCAAACTCATCCCCAGGGCTCAGGACCCGACCCCAAACTCACCCCAGGGCTCAGAACCCGACCCCAAACTCATCCCCAGGGCTCAGAATCTGTCCCCAAACTCACCCCAGGGCTCAGGACCCGACCCCAAACTCGTCCCCAGGGTTCAGAACCCGACCCCAAACTCATCCCCAGAGCTCAGAATCTGTCCCCAAACTCACCCCAGGGCTCAGAACCCGACCCCAAACTCATCCCCAGGGCTTAGAACCTGTCCCAGAATCCGACCCCATGGCTCCAAACCAGTTCCCAGGGATAAGGACCCGACCCCAAACTCATCCCAGGACTCAGGATCCATCCCTAAATCCCTCCCCAGGGCTCAGGACCATTCCCAGGGATAAGGTTTTCTCCCCAAACTCATCCCCAGGGCTCAGGATCTGTCCCCAAACTCATCCCAGGGCTCAGAACCCGACCCCAAACTCATCCCAGGGCTCAGAACCCGACCCCAAACTCACCCCAGGGCTCAGAATCTGTCCCCAAACTCATCCCAGGGCTCAGAACCCGAAGGGTCGTTCTGGAATATCTGCCCCGTTCCCAAGGACGTTCCCAAAGCTGGACGAGGAGCCAGGGAATGGATCCCAGTGGGAAAGGGGAGATTTGGGGGGGAGATTGGGAAGGGATTCCTGGCTGGGAGGGGGGGGAGGGGCTGGGCTGGAATTCCCAGAGAAGCTGTGGCTGCCCCTGGATCCCTGGCAGTGTCCAAGGCCGGCTTGGATTCCCTGGGATAGCGGGAGGTGTCCCTGATCCAGGGTGAATTGAATGATCTTTAAGTTCCCACCCAAACCATTCCAGCATTCCAGGATAAAGGACACTCAGAATCCACTCAGAGGGATTTTTCTGGAATGTGGGGATGGAAAAGGCAGGAAAGGGGAAGGGAGACCCTGCCCTGAGTGCCGAGATTCCCAGGGAACCCCCTTGTTCCCGGAACTCCTTCCCAGGGAGGAGCTGGGCTGGGGCTGGATCCAATGGCAGGCTCTGGCTCCAGGCTGGGAGAGCTGGGAATGGCCAGGCTGGATTTGGGAAGGATCCCGGGAGAGCTCGGAGCACATTCCGGAGCCTCCTTCCCACGAGGATTCCCGGCATTCCCAGCTCCTGGAAAGGCTCTCCTGGATCCCAGTTCCCTCCTCACCAGCACCCAGAAATCCAAGAGCCGGGATCCCAAATCCAGCCCGGATTCCGGGCAGACGTTGGGGTGGGAAACATCCCGCTTTTCCCACTGTTTTTCCGCCCAGGGCAGCCCTTGGAATTGTGGAGGAGGTGGAGGAAGAGGAGGAGGAGGAGGAGGAAGAGCAGAGGAAGAGCCTGGCACTGATCGAGGAGACGGAGAAGGTGAGGGAGAATCTGGGAATGTGCTCCTGGATCCGCCCTCGGAGCCGGGATTGGGTCGTTAATGGAAAATTTCGGGATAGAAACTCCTCAGGACTCGGAATTGGGGTGGAATCCTTGGGATGGGAGTTCCCAGCCCATGGATTGGGAGGATTTGGGAATGTGGCCGTGAATCCAACCCCAATCCCAACTTCCCAAATGTGTGTCCTGGGAGTCTCCTCCTTGGATCCCTCCTTGGAATTTATTGTCCCATTTTTGGGACAGAAACTCCTTCGGAGTCGGAATTGGGGTGGAATCCTTGGGATGGGAATTCCCTGTGCAAATCCCATGGATTGGGAGGATCTGGGACTGGATCCATGAATCCAACCCCAATCCCAACTTCCCAACTGTGTGTCTTGGGAGTCTCCTCCTTGGACCCCTCCTTGGAATTTATTGTCCCATTTTTGGGACAGAAACTCCTCTGGAGTCGGAATTGGGGTGGAATCCTTGGGGTGGGAATTCCCTGTGGAAATCCCATGGATTGGGAGGATCTGGGACTGGATCCATGAATCCAACCCCAATCCCAAACTTCCCAAATGTGTGTCCGGAGTGTCTCCTCCTTGGAGCTTGTTTTGGGTCCTTATTCCAACATTTTGGGACAGAAACTTCTCCGGACTCGGAATCGGGGTGGAATCTTTGGGATGGGAATTCCCTGTGGAAATCCCGTGGATTGGGAGGATCTGGGACTGGATCCATGAATCCGACCCCAATCCCAACTTCCCAAAAGTGTCTCTTCCCTGCCAGGCTCTGGCCAAGCTGCTTTTCCACGGCACTCAGCTGGTGACGGATGTCCAGGTGGATTCGGATTTCCGGGAATTCCAGAGGAGGGAACGGGAAGCCAAGGAGAGGAGGGACAGGTGAGATATTCCGTGGTCTCCAGGGGCTTTTCCAGCCTCAGGAATTCCAGGATTCCCTCGGAATTCCCAGTGGTTGGAGCTGATGGTCTCCAAGGGCTTTTCCAAGCTCAGGAATTCCAGGATTCCCTCAGAATTCCCAATGGTTGGATCTGATGGTCTCCCAGGGTTTTTCCAGCCTCAGGAATTCCAGGATTCCCTCAGAATTCCCAATGGTTGGAGCTGATGGTCTCCAAGGGCTTTTCCAAGCTCAGGAATTCCAGGATTCCCTCAGAATTCCCAATGGTTGGATCTGATGGTCTCCAAGGGCTTTTCCAGCCTCAGGAATTCCAGGATTCCCTCAGAAATTCCAAGTGGTTTGAGCTGATGGTCTCCAAGGGCTTTTCCAGCCTCAGGAATTCCAAAGGGTTGGATCTGATGAACTCCAAGGGCTTTTCCAGCCTCTGGAATTCCAAGATTCCCTTGGATGGAAAACTGGTTGGAGCTGATGAACTCCAAGGGCTTTTCCAGCCTCTGGAATTCCAAAGGGTTTGAGCTGATGGTCTCCAAGGGCTTTTCCAGCCTCTGGAATTCCAAAGGGTTGGAGCTGATGGTCTCCAAGGGCTTTTCCAGCCTCTGGAATTCCAAAGGGTTGGAGCTGATGGTCTCCAAGGACTTTTCCAGCCTCTGGAATTCCAGGATTCCCTTGGATGGAAAACTGGTTGGAGCTGATGAACTCCAAGGGCTTTTCCAGCCTCTGGAATTCCAAAGGGTTGGAGCTGATGGTCTCCAAGGGCTTTTCCAGCCTCTGGAATTCCAAGGGGTTGGAGCTGATGGTCTCCAAGGGCTTTTCCAGCCTCAGGAATTCCAGGATTCCGTGGCGCCGCTCGGAATTCCGAGCGAGTTCCGAGGGGAAGTTGCGCTTCCCGAGTTTTCCCTGGATCCCTGCAGGTTGGAGAGGCTGGAGAGGGAAGCCCAGAGGAGCACGGAGAAGCTTGGGGAGATCAACTCCGGGTGGGTCCTGGCCCAGGATTCCAAGATCCCGCAGGAATTGCGGGAATTGCTGAAGGAACAGCAGGAAAACTGCGAGCGGCTCCTGCGGGAAAAGAACCGGCTCATCCGGGACCTGCGGGAGGTGAGCTGGGAATTCCGGGGCTGGAGCCAGGCTGGGAGAGCTGGGAATGGCCAGGCTGGAGAAGGGAAGGATCCCGGGAGAGCTTGGAGCACATTCCAGAGGCTGAAGGGGCTCCAGGAGAGCTGGAGAGGGCCTGGGGATCAGGGCCTGGAATGCCAGGCCCCAGGGAATGGATCCCAGTGGGAAAGGGGAGCTTTGGGGGGGAGATTGGGAAGGGATTCCTGGCTGGGAGGGTGGGGAGGGGCTGGGCTGGAATTCCCAGAGAAGCTGTGGCTGCCCCTGGATCCCTGGCAGTGTCCCAGGCCGGGTTGGATTCCCTGGGATAGCGGGAGGTGTCCCTGCCCATGGAATGGGATGGGATTTAAGGCTCCTTCCCACCCAAAGCAGTCTGGGATTCCAGGATAAAGGACACTCAGAATCCAGTCAGAGGGGTTTTCTGGAATGTGGGGATGGAAAAGGCGGGAAAGGGGAAGGGAGACCCTGCCCTGAGTGCCGAGATTCCCAGGGAACCCCCTTGTTCCCGGAACTCCTTCCCAGGGAGGAGCTGGGCTGGGGCTGGATCCAATGGCAGGCTCTGGCTCCAGGCTGGGAGAGCTGGGAATGGCCAGGCTGGAGAAGGGAAGGATCCCGGGAGAGCTTGGAGCACATTCCAGAGGCTGAAGGGGCTCCAGGAGAGCTGGAGAGGGACTGGGGACAAGGGATGCAGGGACAGGACCCAGGGAATGGATCCCAGTGCCAGAGAGCAGGGAGAGATGGGAGATTGGGAAGGGATTCCGGGCTGGGAGGGTGGGGAGCGCTCCAGAATTCCCGATTTCCCCGCCCTGGGAACTCACCCACGATGTTGGGATGCTGGAGGTCCCGCAGGATTTTGGCCTCTTCCCTCAGCCTCTCCCCGTAGAGGCTCTGCTGGCTCCGGTTGCACTTGGAATTGATCTTCTTTATGGCCCAGGGGGAGCGGGACAAACCCCTGGGAGACCTGGAAAATCCCGGCGTGTCAGAGCCGCTCCCTCGGGATAACGCCGGGATGGGGGCCCCGAGGGGCTGTGCTGGGGAACAGCTGCCTTTACTCCATGGAATTACGGAGCAGAAGTGCTAAAGGAACTGGAATGTGCCCCAGGTGGGCACGGGAATGCTCTGCTCCGCCCTGGAATTCTCAGGGAGAGGGAATTTGTATTGATTCCCATCTGGAGTTCCGGGAGGGAAGCAGCTTGCCCTGAGGCACCAGGAATGCACTCCAAAGCCCTGAATCCCTGGGAAAGGTTATCCCAAAACAAAGGGCTCCTTCCCAGCCTGGACAAGCCCGGTACAAACCCCACATCCCTCCCTGGGCTCCGGATCTGTGGGAAGGGAATCCGGCAGCACCCGGAGGGCGGTGACGGCACCACTTTCCCTCTCAGAGCCCGTTTTCCATCCCCAGGGGGGGATTTTTGGGGAATAAAATCTGCCCAATCCCTGTTCCCTGTCCCCCCTGAGCTCCCCCCACACACCTTTTCATCAGGTACACGTTGACTCCGGTGCCATATCCCAACTTCTGCATGAAGGGAGAGGCCGGGATGGTGACGGATACGGGCCCTGCATCTGCAAGGAAAAGGGAATCCCAGGGATCCCAGGGAAGTTCTGGAGCTCCTCCAGCTGGACACGAGCCCAGCTGGGCTCTGCTCCCAGGGGGTGCGGGGCAGGACAACAGGGAACGGCCTCGAGCTGTGCCAGGGCAGTGCCAGGGGATGTTGGGAACAATTCCCACATGGAAAGGACTGTCCAGTGGTGGAGTCGCCATTCCCAGAGGGATTTCAAATCCCTGCGGATGTGGCACCCGGGGATGTGGCTCAGTGGTGGCCTTGGCAGCGGGAATGTGGCTCGGGAATGGTTGGACTCAATGGCCTTAAAGCTCTTTTCCAGCCCAAAGCATTCCATGATTCCCACTGGGATGCTTCGATCACAAACAACTTCCAGAACAAGTTGGGATTTCCACGGAAGCTCCTTCCAATCCCCCCTTTCCCCAGTATTCCCCCAGATTCCATCCCCTGATCCGTCCCCACCACCCTCGGCTGGTTTGATCCCAAAAGCAAAACAGATCCAGAGCTTCTGGTCCTTATCCCACAGTGAGGAATCCCGGGATGCACAAGGAGCTGGGATGGGACACGGGTGGGAAAACTGATCCCAAAAGGCCACAGGGACATCCCAGAGCACAGGGAAGCTGTGGATTCCCCATCCCTGGAATTGTCCAAGGTTGGATTGGGCTTGGAGCAACCTGGGATAGTGGGAGGTGTCCCTGCCACTCAAAGCATTCCATGATATGCCATGCTTGGAATCATGGCCTTTGTCTTCCCAAGTGGCCTTTGGGGTCCCTGGGGTCCTCTGGGAATATTTTGGGATCTCACCTGGTCTCTCCCTGCGGGATGAGCCGGCTGGAGACTGGAAGGTGTCCATGGCTGGGATCCCGATCCTACAGGACGAGGGGGATGTCAAGGGACAGAAAGGACACCGGGGGGGTCCCAGATTGGGGGACTTGGGGGGGGTGGTCCCAGATTTGAGAGGTCCATAGTTGGAGGGTGGGGGAGTGTCCCAGGTTGGGCTCGGGGTCCCAATTTGGGAGATGGGAGGGTGGGTTCCAAGTTCGGGGGGATGATAGAGGGGGTCCGAGGTTTGGGGGGTCTCGAAGTCCAGAACTGGAAGATGGGGGGTCCCAGTTTGGGAGGTAATCCCAGAGCAGGGGATGGGGGGCGGCCCCTGGCTGGGGAGTCCCAGACTGGAGGATAGAATGGGCTGGGGATCTCCCGGGTTGGGGGATTTGGGGGGCAGGGGGGAATCCCGAGGCTGGGGGCAGCCAGAGCCCCCCGTGTCCCCCCTGTGCCCGGGGGTCTCAGTCCGGGGGTATCCGGGGGGTGTCTCGGCCCCTGTTCCCCTTCCCGCTCCCGGAGCTGATGGTTCCCAGTTTGGGGGGGGTCCCAGACTGGGGGATTCAGGGGGTGCGGAGCCCCCTCCGTGTCCCCCCTGTGCCCGGGGGTCTCAGTCCGGGGGTATCCAGGGGGTGTCTCAGCCCCTGTTCCCCTTCCCGGCCGTTCCCGGAATTGGGGGTTCCCAGGTTGGGGGGGTCCCAGATTGGGGGATCCAGGGGCTGCAGAGCCCCTCCGTGTCCCACCTGTGCCCGGGGGTCTCAGACCGGGGGTATCCGGGGGGTTTTGGGTCCCGTTTTCCCGATCCCGGATCAATCGCGGCCCTTCCAAATCGCGCGCGCCTTTCAAATCCGCGCGCGTGCGCCGGACTCGCCCCCTTTGTGGGCGGAGCCAACGAGCGACGCAGGCGCGGTCACGCGAGGGGCGTGGTCAGAAGGATCCTCGGTGACGGGGGCGTGGTCAAGCAGCAGGAGGCGGGGCAAAACGGGGGGGGGTGTGGCCTGAGGGAATGAGCAATCCCCGGGCGGGGCAAACAAGGGGCGTGGTCAAGTGAAGAAGGCGTGGTCAGAGGGCGGTGGGCGGAGCTTGGGGCGGTTCCTCGGGAGTCCCCCGAGGGTTGGGGAGGGTTTGGGGGTGGTTGAGGGATTTGGGGGGGTCCCCGAGCCTTGGGGGGATCTGGGAGGGGTGCAGGAGGCCTTGAGGGGCATTTGGGGGACATGGGGGGGGGTTGGAAGGGGTGAGAGTGATTTTGGGGGGTCCCAAAGCCTTGGGGGGGATTTGGCGGGACACCCGGGGGGGTTGAAAGGGCAGAGAGTGATTTTGGAGGGTCCCAAAGCCTTGGGGGGGATCTAGGGGACACCCGGGGGGGTGTGAGTGATTTTGGGGGGTCCCAAAGCCTTGGGAGGGATCTGGGGGACACCCAAGGGGGTTTTGGGGGTGTGAGAGTGATTTTGGGGGGTCCCAACACCTTGGGGGGGATTTGGGGGACACTCGGGGAGTCTGGCCGGGGTGTGAGTGATTTTGGGGGGTCCCAACACCTTGGGGGGGGATTCTGGGGACACCCGGGGGGTCTGGGAGGGGTGTGAGTGATTTTGGAGGGTCCCAAAGCCTTGGGGGGGATCTGGGGGACACCCGGGGGGGTTGGAAGGGGTGAGAGTGATTTGGGGGGGTCCCAACACCTTAGAGAGGATCTGGGGGACACCCGGGGGGGTTGGGAGAGGTAGGAGTGATTTTCGGGGGTCCCAAAGCCTGGGAGGGATCGGGGGGACAGCCGGTGGGATCTGGGGGGTGTGTGAGTGATTTTTGGGTTGCCAAGCCTTGAGGGGGTGCTGGGGGGACACCCGGGGGAGTTTGGGGTCTCTGGGGTCCTTAGGACTTGGGGACGGGGGGGCTGTGTGGGGTCTCCAAGGCACTGAGGGCATTTCCAAACCCTTGCAGGGGTCTCTGTAGGGTCCACACGGCCTTGGGGGGGGGGCCATCACTCTTTGACCCCCCAACACCCCCCGGACGCCCATAAACCCTCCTGGACCCCCATAAAAACCCCCATCACTCTTTGACTCCCCAAACACACCTCCCTAAACCCCCCTAAATCCCCGTGGCTCTTTGATCCCCCAACACCCTCCAGAGCCCCCATAAACCCCCATCACTCTGTGACCTTCCCAGACCCCCAACACCTCCAGACCCCTCATAAACCCCACTGCTCTTTGAAGACCCCCCGGACTCACCCAAACCCCCACAAAGCCCCATCGCACTTCATCCCCCATAACCCCCCTGGACACCCCTAAACCCCCATCAATCTGAGGAAGATTTCCTCCCAATCTCCCATCTCTCCCTGCCCTCTGGCAGTGGGAAGCCATTCCCTGGGTCCTGTCCCTCCAGCCCTTGTCCCCAGTCCCTCTCCAGCTCTCCTGGAGCCCCTTTATGCTCTGGAAGGGGCTCACAGGTCTCCCTGGATCCTTCTCTTCTCCAGGGGAGCACCCCCAGCTCTCCCAGCCTGGCTCCAGAGCAGAGGGAGGCAGAAGGAGCAGGGAAGGAAAAGAAAGTAAAGGGGAGAAGGGAAAGAAATCCGAGTTGGTCCACTCAGATCTGCCCCTCTCCCCTTCCAGCCCCATCCCGGCCTCCTCCCAACCTGTCAGCCCAGCCCCGTCCCCTGCCTTGCCCAGCCCCCTCTTTCCCAGCCTGTGCATCAGACAGACCCCCGGGCAGTCCCTGCTGGGCTTTCCAGTCCCACCCCCCTCCAGCAGCTCTTTGCTTTCCCTCCTGGCTCCCTGGCAGCCCGGCAGGGGCACTGCCACCTCAGTTCCAACCCCCACGGCCGTCCCCGGGGCAGCCCCAGCTGGTCCCAGCTTCTCCAGAGCGCGGCTCCGGTGCCCCCAGGCTGCCTGGACAGCACCAGCGCTGCCCCGGGGACTGGGAGGAAGCTGCTGGGCCACGGGATCCTGCACAGGGGGCACGGCAAAGGCTTTTGCTCAACAGCCAGGCCAAGGGCAGGAGCAGCTGCCGGTGGGGCTGAGAGCTGGAGGGAAGTGCAGCAGGCCCAGGCCCCTGAGCAGGGACGGCTGCCCTGGGCACACGCAGGGCCCTCCGGAGCAGGGAGTTAAAGCACTGCCTCAGCCGGCCCTGCCCCTGCCAAGGTGGGACCTGCTGCTGGCGACTGAAAGGACTCCTTGTCAGGGGTGACAGCGGGTCTGTCAGCACCTTGGCACATACTGACGAGGTAATAGATGTTGACCAGATCAAAGTATACCCCTGAGACGGACTGAAAGAGAGGACTGAAAATGGAGGCCCTGATCCTGACAACATACTGATGTATCCTGAAGAAGCTGTCCTGTGGGAACAGAGAACACTGTCTCATGAGAACAAGGACCTGTTTTGAGTGGTTGGGAAGAACATCAACATGAGAGAAAAATAAGAGCAGGTGCTCGGGACTGTTGTGGGAAAGAACTGGGCTGTTTTGAGAAAGAGCAAAGTTGTTGTGAGAAAGTAGAGTTTAGAAAATGCACCTATTAGCTGTAAGAATTCTGGTGTGAAAGTGTCCTATCCGTGTGCATTACGTGTGTTCAAAAACTGTACTTAAGGGGCTGCGCAGCAGCCCCGCTGTCCCTGCTTTTTTCTTGGAATAAACTTTGCTGGAACTTTTTCCGTGTCGCTTTGGCCATTCCAACATTATCAACGACAACTCCTCTCCCAGTTCCTGGAATCACACTCTTTATTAGCACCGCCTGGGACAGGTTAATAAGGTTCGTGGGCGTTGGCGGCAGCGTCTGGCTGCAAAACTGTGTTTGAAAGCAATCTGGGCTCTGGGAAGCAAGGCCAAGGTGGAACACGAAGCAATCTGCCAAGATCCTCTGGGGGGAGCCCGACCAAAGCTCTGCTCCTTAAAGCAGCGTTGAACCTGCCCAGAGTGTATTTCTCACCCCACCGGCGTCCCTGGGGTGGGGGGGAGGCAGGTTCAACCCCTCAGCTGATCCCAGCAGGTTCGGGGGAGTCTTCCTCAATTTCCCCCCTATCCTCAACTTACTTTTATACAAATTCTTAGTGTTTAGGTGGAGCTGGAGTGGCTTCAGTCGTAATTACCTTTTGTTTCTGGTTGGTGTAAAGTTCTCTTGCTGTACCTAACGGGAGGGGGGGTCGTGGTTTGGCACCTGAGGAGGGGGTTCGACGTGGTTGTTGGCTCTGCAGCAGAACACCTGGATTGTCCCTCGGCTGACAGGTACTGGAGGGTCCCATGATCTTCCCAGTACCACAGTGTTCCCCCTTTGTGCTGGGATTGCAGTGCTGCAGGAAAGCTGGGCTTTGCTCAGTGCCCCTTATTTCCTCAGAGCAGCTCATCCAACTGGGGCTTTCTCGTGCTGCCTTTGCCCTTCCCCTGGCACTTGGGCTCCATCTTGGCCATGGGACTGAGCAGCCGTGGGAGGGTTTTTATACTTTTGCTCAAGGGCAAAGCAGAGGGAAATGTTTACGGCAGGAAGGGAAGAGGATTCTGGCTGATCAGGAAGCGAGGGAGTTTCTGAGCGACGGCCGGAGTAACGCACCTTATTTCACCCAGTTTGTGAGCAGTTGGATCCCATTGTCTTCATGGGGCTTGAGAGCACAAGCATTGAAACAGCATTTTGTGGACAGCCTTGTACTCTGTTCTGCTAAACTGCAAAGCCGTGGAGGTTCTTCCTTCATCTTCTTTCATCTTCCTTCCATCAATGTGGCCTAAGGCTTGTCCAGCTCAGCAAGTGCTTCCTGCTTGGTAATTCTCTGCCAGGCCTGAGGGATTTCTCCTCTGCCTTGAAATTTCTTACCATGCCAGGTTTCTATCTCTGTCCTGAAATGAGACACAAACCATTTCCAGTAGGCTTGTGTGGTTGGATCAGGAAGAATGTTCCAAGTGGAGACAGGAGGTCCTGCATCCCGGTATCTCTTGTAGGGGATCCAACCTTCATCAGGACCTTCGAATTCACAATCACTTGCAACGAGGCTGGAACAAATATCAATGACCAGGTGATCTGTTTGGTGCCACCACTCTCCCGTCAAAGCTTCTGGTCGATGGAAGAGAACCTGATGGTCTCCATCGTGTCCCCGCATGGTGTTTGTGCAGACAGCCCCACAAAAGGGACACTGCGCCCAGCACCCCCAAAACTGCTCTGCCAGGATGGTGTGAGGCTTCCTTTCAAACCAGCTCAGATCAGCAACAGCAAATTCTTCCCTGAGTTTGTCCTTCATGGCAGGCAGTGCTTCTGCCATGGCTTTGCTCAGGAACTCGATGTCTGTGATCTCCTGATGCTCGAGGCCCTTCAGGTCACTTCTGGGCAAGTTGATCAGCTCTGTCAGTTCCCTGCAAAATTCATCCAGCCAGAGAGAGATTTTGTCCTTTTGGTCTTTTCTGTCTTTGACCCTTTGGGTTGATGAAGCAACAGCTGACAGGATGTTTCCATAGAGAACATCAAGGGAGGAATCTAAAAAGTTCTCCAGCCTCCGGCTCTCACCTAAACAG